CTAATCAAAATAGGAAGAACAAGACATGCTTCCACAATGAGATGGAATTCTTTGATGGTGTCCGTGCCAGGGAGCACGCTGGGGACTCAGGCTCTGATTCAGTCACACTTAAGTTGTTCCCTAGTCAGTGAAGTGAATAAAAGTTCAATATATGCTGAGGTGCATTGCTGAGCTGGAGGCTTAGAGCAGGATCTAGAGTGGCATGCTGGCCATCTAAAATGGTACTTGTCTGAAAAAGCAAGCCAGGAACCCCCTTCACAGAGGCTGTCCAACCCTGGAAGCACCTAAAGTCACTTGGCACCTGCACTTGGGACCACAAGAGCACCTCAATGTAGAGAGGTCCCTTTCAGCCCTACTTTGAATCATAGAAAATGAGGTTGGGAGGGACCTCAGGAGGTCACATCTAGTCCAACACCTTGCTCACAGCAGGACTGGCCCCAACTACATCATCCCAACCAAGGCTTTGTCTGCTTGGGTCTTAACAACTGCCAAGCATGGAGAGTCTACAGCCTCTCTGGGTAGCCTGTTCCAGTGCTTTACTACCTTCCTTGTGAGAGAGTTTTTCTTAATATCCATCCTCAACTTCCCTTGCTGCAACTTGAGCACATTGCTCACCAGGGTTCTGGCCTCTGCTTCCAGGACTATCTGCATTTGACACTGCAAGGAAACACAGCGAGTCTGGAGCACCCTGCCACATACACTCAAGACTGCTCTATAGCCTGAGGATTCAGGCAATGGGAGGAGGGAAAGGTGGGTGTGAATCCCCACAAGGTCAGATACACCTATAACGTGGTCTCCCATTTCCTAGGTGCCTCTCTGGATCTTGTCCTGAGATAACCAACAGCAGGCATTTTCATTCTTTATGTAGCATTTTGCATTGACAGAGCACTCCCCCTTACAGTGCATGGTCAAAGCAATAAGCAGTGTTGGCCCCATTTCACAGGTGGTTCAAATGAGGCAGCACAACTGGCCTCATGGCAGAGCTGGCAATAAAGCATGCGAGTTCTTGTTCCCCAGTCATCAGGTCAGTCCACTAGACCATGCAGCCATGGATTTAGATTTACAGAAAGCCTTTGACAAAGGTTCACTCTCAGGTTAATATTTTAGCTCAGCAGATATGTGAGAGGTTGAAATGCACTCAGGTGACTTCTAAGTGGAAACAGGATAACAAAGAGAGAAAAACAGCTACCCCAGGTGGAATTTGGCTAGAGGAAGTTATTTGCTAAGTGCTCTAGGGATCAGAAATAGGTTCACTTGTTATCCTCCAAGAATAAATTACTTGGGGCACTGCAACCTGGGGATTCAGGTTTCCCCTTGGAAAGAAAGAGGTTGGTACAGCATGCTTTGGTTTACAGTCTACTGGTCCCTGAGGGAGCCACCCAGGCCTGATACAGGCCCTCTGCTCTGTATCCTTCAGTCATATCTTTCTTACTGACAGGCAGCAATGTGCTGAATCCTTCTTTTGGTGTTATTTTTCTATTTAAGCAATTGCTATAGGTACCACAAGGATGGCATGAATGGCAGGGGAGGGGTTCATTAGACACTCTCTGAAGTACTGAGGGGTGGCTAGTTCAAACAGCAACTAGCACACAAGTGGACGGAAGATCCTTTGACTCCGGTAAGAAGATAGATGCACCAACATTAACATCCTCTTGCAAGCAAATGCCATGAGCACTGAAGTAATGATCACCCAACATCAACTTTGGTGGGCCTGCCACATCTGGGTGTCCGACTTGACTCCTGAAGGAAGTTTTATTCTCCCAGCCCAGTCAAGGCATACGTTCAAGAGGAGGGCACAGAAAGCACTTCAAGGATGTCCTCAAGGCAACTTGAAAAAATGCAACTTCAGCATTAACTGGTGGGAGACTATCGCCAAGGACCGCCCCAAATGGAGAAAGGGTTCGCTGCAAGGATCTCAGTACTTTGAAACCTTGTGATGACAACAGGACACACAGAAGTGGGAGTGGCAGAAACAGCGTGTCATGGACCCAGTCAAGAGCCCAGAGCCACCCACCTTGCACGGAAATACATGCCCGAGCTGCAACAGAGTCTGTCGATCTCAGATCAGCCTCATCAGCCATCTTTGGACCCACAGGTAAAGCAAACATGGAAGACAGTCATCCTTGACTGCGAGGGATTGCTGCTGCTGGACCTTTGGAGCAAAGATCAGGGGAAGAGGACAGTAGAGTTCCTGTTTTTCTCACTCCAACTACTGGATCTCTTCCAAAACCACCTCTGCTCTCCCTTCCTTGTGAAGAAGTCAGTGCCTGACAGTGTGTGAGTCGTGCCACTGTAAAAGGAGCTCTGGGCATGTGCCTCAGCACCTATTCTGCCCAGGTTGAAAAACAGCTTGCAAGTGGCCATCTTACACCAGCAGGCATAAAAGGCATCTGAAAGAACAGCCGTGTTGCGTAAAAACATAGGAGCTATCCCTGGAGGACAGCACAGCAGCCAAAAATGGCACTGACTGCCCATCGCCTCATCCTTGTGGCAGAAGTTCAGGACAAGAAGAGGGGCTTGCTAAGCAGTTGCCAGCCAGATCACACCATTGTGCTGCTTAGCTATTCCCTCCCTCCTCACACAGATAAGCTGAAAAGACTGGGCAGTGACAATAAAGGAGGAGGGGGTTACACGGCACCTCTTGTGCTGAAGGGTCTTAAGGTCCTAAACCAAGGGGCAGTCTGCCAATTTTCAGAGATTACATGGGAGTTTACGGCTGTAGCAGGTTGCATGCGTGAGCATGTGTGTGTGTGATTTTATCATTTAGTTTCACCAACACACGAACCACTCAAAAGAGAATGCAATACAGGACCAACCCAGGGAACTCACAGATAGACCTAGACAAACAGTGCAGGTCCAAGGCACCAAAGAGTGGATTGAGCTCTTACAGCAATACAGATTATTTTCCCTGTGGATTGTCCCAGAAGCGTGCCTTGAAGAAGCGGCTCAAAAAAGCAGACAGGAAGGAACTCTAAGGAGCAGGTGGAAGACTCGAGTAGGTGAAGATGCTGAGGGCATTCTGAAGGCCAGTTTGGGGTGAGCACATGGAGCATAGACAAGAGAGCAGAGATGTGGGGGGCAGTGAGAGCAGTGTTCAAGCCTGACCAGAGCAAGATAAGATTCTGGAAGAGGACATGGACAGACAGGTGCAGTAATTGAGGCTGATGATGCTCAGTGTGTGGGTTGGAGATTTGTAACGGGCAGGGAGAAGAGACAGCAGAAAAAAATGCAATGAGATCTGACAGGAGGTTGGCTGTGAAGAAAGAAAAATGGGGACACAGGCTTGGACCTTCCTGAGTATTGGGGAAGAAACATGAGACTGCTTCTGCCTGTTTAGTAGCTCACATGGCTACTAAAACAGATGTAGGGTAGATGTTGTTCTGATGGTTGCTACTAAAGAGTTGTAGGTCTTTGGCATAAAGATTGTGGCTGAAACAACAGGATTTTGCAGCTAGTCAGTGCAAGATTATAAAGGGGAAATAAGAGACTCTGAGAACAGATTCCAGAGAGATATGGGAAAGAAGTCCCCCAGAAGACTGCATTAAAAACAGCAGCTAGCAGAGGATGAGAGAGGGAATTACTGTAGGGGGAAAGTGGCACCATCACCTTGCAGAACACAGCAGGGCAGGAAGTGAGAAATTTTCCATTGAAATGGCAAGAAATTTGGGGTTAGGAAGATGCAGTTGTATACACTGGATTGTGTCCAGGGCACTGGTGTTAACTATCCCAAGGTGCAAGCAGACCTAAACTCACATCCTTCCTGCACTATGTGGTCACCTTAGCTGGAGAAACCAAAAAACAGAGCAGGAGCCCCTGGGGGCAAAGCCAGGGACTGGATAAATCAACAGAAACCCATATGGAGAGGAGGGAGCTTCTCTGCGTCTCCCAACTTTGCCAGCAACGAGAGGGGGTTTATTATGCGTCCTGCAGCCGATGAGGCAAGTTAGCTTAAGAGGTGCAAGTCAGTGGGCATGCATGGGAAGAAATGCTGGTACGTCATGCATCTCTGTTATAAACCCAGTGAGGGGAGTTCAGATGAACCGGCCGGTGAGTAGGACATGGAGGGAAATCCAGATCCCATTGAAGCCACTGGAAGCTTTGCCACTGACTTCAAGAGAACAGGATTTCAAACATGAGGTATTGTCTCTTCCTTCATTTTCCTCCTCTCCTTCCAGCCCACCCTTCCCCCCTCGTTCCTGCTCACCCTGGTCCTTCTCCCACCCCCACCAGTGCTTTCTACTCCTTTGGCAACAGTATTTCTTACCAGCCCAGTAAAGACTACCCTTTAACTTGGTAGTGAAGAGGAGGAGTTGGTACTGGAGCCTGAGCTTCAACCCATTCACTTCACAGCCAGGGAATGCAAGAAAGCCTGCTTGCTTATGCAGAGTCCTGCACTTGGGATGAAATAATTGCATTCACAAATACAGACTGGGGAAAGATGGGCTGGGCTGCAGTACTGCAGTGAAAGTCCTAGGGCTACAGTGGGCCATAAGCTCAGTATGAGCTAACAGTGTGCACTTGCTGCCAAAAAAAAAAAAAGGCAACAGGATACTGCATCGATAGGAATATCACTTGGAAATCAATGCAAGTGATTCTTCTGCTCTTTTCAGCACTGGTGAGGCCTCCCCTGGAGTCCTGTGTCCTCTCCATCCCTATAAAGTTTCAAGAGTAGGTTAGCCAGACACTAGAGCAGGAGGGTTTAGTCAAGGATGACCTTGTAAAGTCCCTTCCAACCTTACTTCTCTAGGATCCTGTGATTCCTGTGATCCTATGTATGGAATCACCTGCAGAGAAAAGCAGGTCAGTTAAGAAAGGGACATGCACTCACTGCAGACTCTAAATGTAACCTTGGAACAAGAAGAGTGAACGGGATGATTAATATTTGGGGGTGGGGAGGGGGCGCTTAGGGCTATGGGGACTTTGTTCTTTGCAGATCCTGTTCCAAGGAAATTGGACCCGGGATAGACTTGCAGGTGCCAGCCTCTTTCTCTGCTCTCTGAATCCCCTGTCAACAAATCCTGCATCAGAGCTGCTGGGTAGGAACCTTTGCCCTGGCCTCTTACTCAAATACTCAACAGGCTGGTTTGGACGAGGTCACTGGGGACAGCTGTAGAGGTGGGCATGCTGTTTGTGTGTGCATTCCCTGGCCTTTTCCCTGTAATCATCCTGTAGCCCCTTTCTGCAGCTTTCATTTGAACTCTACACATAAGATCAGGTTCAAAGACCTTGTCCATTTTCAGGATGGCAGAGACAAGCCTTTGGCCTGAGCAGAGCTGCGTGAAAGGGCTGAGAAACAATGCAAGACAGAAAACTTGGCTCAGTTTTGCTACGTCTGGCTCAGCCATGGCTTTCTAGCTGTATGGGGTGTGGGGGGTGGAAATGTTGCCTGGATGTCACACAGAGGCTTGTGCAAGTACAAAGCACCTCTAAAACAGTGTCCCTGGGTGCTGGGGTCCCTCAGCCTCACGGCTGCCTTGGGGTATAAGTTAGCACGTAGCTGCCACATGAACACCAGGGACAGATAATAGGTGACTTTGTCACAGTGCAGATGAGCTCCTGCTCACCTCATCTTACCAAAAGCTGAGCCTGCATCTCTCACAGCTTTAGGAACTGGTACTAATATTGTCTGCTCAGATATTATTCTGGATGGGCACCGCTGTGTGAGTGGCCACTAATTCAGAGCACCTCAGTTGGGAGGTGCCCGGCCTTGGACCCTGAGGGGGCTCCCAAAGACTGAAGCACTGCAAAGCATTAGCTGCTTTCAGAAATTTTGGCCAGACTGCGCGATGCGTTGCAGTCATTTGCCGGCGTGCGTCTGAGTGCACTTCAACTGCAGCCAAACCCGAGGCCCACTGAAGTCAATGGGAATTTTCCTTAGAAGAGGCTGCGAGAACACATGTTCTTGGCACGTGGTGAGGTGTTCCATGGGCTATCTGCTTTGCTTCCTGCCACAAATGACCCACCCGGCACAGAAACTTTCTACCTTGTGATCCAAAGCAGGACGGGAACAGTTTTCCACATGCCACAAGAGCATGGAAGAACCATAAAACCTAATTGAATTTTGAAGCTTGGCACCCCTTTGTCAGGGGATATATTTAGCTTGAATTGAAATTGGTTGGCGGAAAGCCATGGGCCGGCATGACAAATGAGTTAGGGATGGATATCAAAGGCCAACTCATACCTGCCCATCCCATCCCATCCCATTAGGGTCAGTGATGGCATGAGAGATTCATGGATGGAGCCATGATGGCCTTCCAACAGATTTATTTCTTTCAGGCCGTATTACAAGTATTTGGCAGTAATTATTTGGCTCTCAATCCACTCAGCGCTCTCCCAGGTTTGAACCTCTCCCTCACAGCCTCCCAACTCTCTTTGAAATATAATCCTATTCCACATGTCTCACAAGAGTTAAAGAAGTCACCATGCTTTCCAAGCGCAGTCCCACTTTTTTTGGCCCTTCAGCTGATTTGTCTGGTCATGGTAAAGGGGGAAAGCCTTTTTAGCTCTCTTACAGTTTCATAGTTTCATAGTTAGTAGGGTCGGAAGGGACCTGAGCAGATCATCAAGTCCGACCCCCTGCCATGGCAGGAAAGAGTACTGGGGTCAAACGACCCCAGCAAGGTGATTGTCTTGAATCCATTATGGTGACTGGTTTCAAAGGGAACCAACACCATGTGCCCAAGCCGCTGTGCAGAAGTGCCCTGTGCACTGCGGAGACCTGTCAGGCACACTCTGAGGACCTCTGATCTAGGGACTGGGAGCAATGTCTTGCTCCTCTGTCGCTTCTCCTAACCTGGGCAATGGACCAGCCCCAAATCTCCAGCTGATGAATGCTTTATCTTTTAGTCTTTCAGCTGCAAAAGAGAAGTGTAAATGAGTGCAGAGCTTGCAGCCCTGCTGTAATATGCTCTTGTCTGCTTTGCTTAAGAGAAAAATAGCTGAAGTTTGCACATAGCTGTTGGGACCAATTCCAGGTGGAGCTTGTTCTTGGAGACCAGTCCAGAAGTGTGGAAAGCAAACACCATAGATGGGTCCATGTCAGAGAAGAAGGGTCAGTCTCTACCTGCTGGAGGCCTCTGCTGAATTTAAACTCTTACCACTACCTCAAGTTTCCAAGAGCGATTCTCTCCCATCTCTCCATGCGCACTTGTGTTGTCTGCTCATGTCCCGCATTCTTCCTTGGTTTTGTGTGCGTTCGTTTTGGGGGGAGAAACGGTGTGAAATATTATCAGGAGAGGGTTTTGTGAATGAATCAGCTGACAAGAAGGTTACTAGCTGGCCTCTTTTTACTAGAATAGTGATCATTTGGAAAAATTTGTATATCTATCAGTGGGAAACAGGAAGCAACAAGTTTTGATCAGGAAGGGACTGGCTGGGCTTGGTGCAGATTGACTTGTTTTCCATTTAGTGTGCGTGCCACTGGTTTTCTGAATGAAGCAGCACAGTGCTCATGAGAAACTTGACACAAGCGATGCCATTTTGATGTTTCTATTGCTCCAGATCCTGCCTCGTGATTGTTACTGGCAGCAACACCACTCGTTCCTCATCCATAGTGGACTAACATTTAAAGATATCGCTAAAAATGGAGAAAACCGGATGGTGCTTTAAAATCTTAAAAATCTTGGAATTTTTCCCTGATAATTGGAGTTTGGCAAAACTTACCAACATCTTAGAGTGAATTTTATTTTTGTCTATTATATCTGTTGTTAAAGGCAATTTAATTCAATCGTCTTTCTCACTGTGTGTTTCTCATTGTAAAGGACAGTGATATGTAAAAAAAAAAAAAAATGTTCCTTGTGTGAAATGATCCTTGCCTAGACTGACTGGGAAAGCAGAATACTCATATCACAGCCCAGAATGTAGGTTGTGATATTTGGATATCGACTCCATATGGTTCTGGCTTCTGATCCAGGTGCAATAACTGTATGGAGTCCTGGAATTTGCCAAAGAATTTTTGCTGTTTTTAATTGCCATTTTGGTAATGACCAAAGCACAGGGGGCTAAGGGGCTGGGAGTTCAGCGGTCCAGTTGTGGCTTGGTCACTGTGTGGCTGTGAAAAGCCTCTGCCCTCAGTTTCCACATCTGAAATATGGGAATCATAGTGTCTGAAGGGTGGAGGTTTGTGGAAGAGAAGTGCTATGTAAATTTGAAGAATTTTCCCCTTTGTGTGATGACAGGAGACTTTTATCCTGACATGACATCACCTGGCAGGTTCCAGCTTGCAGTAAAACTTTTGAATCTTTGACTTTTCTGCAAACTTGGAGCAGCCAACCCCATTCCAGATGGACTGTTATGTAAGCTATGGCACAGCTCTTGCGTCCACACTTGGCCACGCACTGTCCCAAGGTTACTCCACTCTTCATAAGCTGCTGACATGCAAAGGGCCGGATTGCTGAACCTGCGTGACGTCAAACTGTAAACACAGATCCTGGATCACTTCAGGCCATGTTGACATGTCCTTTGTGTGTTGAAAGAAACTTTACGTATGTCACTTCTGAGGGACAGACAAGGCCCAGTGTCTGTCATATTCGTAGCTCGTAGGCTGACCAAGAGCTCTTAAATTATACTAAATTATATTAAATAGCAGATTCTTGCAGTGAATGGGTATGTGCATGCACACCCTCTCCTCTCAAATCAGTTGCAATCAGAACAGTTTGGTTCAATCTCTACTTCCAATGACTAACGAGGATTCTCTGTTAACTCAAAGTTGCTACCAAGTGTTGAGAGGCTGCTGTCTGGAGACTGATCACAAAATTAGGCAGATTGTCCTAGGACACTTGGGACAGGACAAGGAGCAATGGTCTCAAGTTGTAGCACAGGAAATTTAGGTTGGATATTACAAAAAACTCTCTCATCAGGAGGGTGATGAAGCACTGGAACAGGTTACCCAGAAAGGTGGAAGAAACTGTACCCTTGGAGGTATTTAAGACCCAGGTAGACAAAGCCTTGGCTGGGATGATCTAGTTGGGGCTGGTCCTGCTTTGAGCAGGGGTTGGACTAGATGTGACCCCCTGAGCTCCCTTCTAACCTTCATTTTCTATGATTCTAGGATGCTAGTAGTGTGCAGAACAGGAGAAAAAAGCCCAGCTGTTACCCTGAGCTTTCTTGTTGTGTGAGTCTCCTACTTGAGAGAGCCAGTTTAGGGCCTGGAAGCTGAAAGCGGTAACAGGTTTGGGCCCAAAGCATGTGCTGTTGTGTTAGACCCAAGAGAAGTAGGCAAATATAGAACATAGGAGAATATTGGATAAAAGTCAAGCATGAGTTAATTCATCATATGGGATGTAAAGTAAAATAAGGCCAGACTTGCCAAGAAGTATTGCTGACACGGCAGGTTTTACCATGAAAATTATGGAGGCAGTGAAGTCAATAATGTTGAGAGAGCTCTTAAAGTGTATTGAACACATTCTTATTCAATTCCTGATACTCTGGATGATGATAGATAGACCTCAAGTCAAGGCAAGTCAAGTCCTGGGCAAGCTGTTGGAGAAAATTATTCTGGCACGCATCCAGGAGGGGCCAGCAGGGAACGGCATGCTCAGGGGCAACCAGCATGGGTTCATCAGCGGCAGGTCCTGTCAGACCAACCTGGTGGCCTTTTACGACCAGGTCACTAAATCATTGGATGCAGGGGTGGCAGTGGATATAGTTTTCCTAGACTTCAGGAAGGCTTTTGATACTGTCTCTCACCCCATTCTCATTAGGAAGCTGGGGGACTGTGGCGTAGACACCCA